AGCACAAAGGGTCACTGATCAAATAACTCCGGGTAGCATAACTTACTACACAGACGGATCCGTGGATCCCATAAATCATGTTGCAGGCGCCGGCTTCGCAACAAAAGATACCACAGCATCCATTAGGGTCACTGACAATGCCTCAACGCTTCAAGCTGAAACGGTTGCGATCATGGAAGCCCTGACACACACGTTTCTGAGGGCAGGACACGTTCTTATTCACACAGATTCTAGAGCAACTATTGACAGCTTACAGCATAGCATGCCCCATGACATCTACCTCCTGACAACAGTACTAACCATAGCCCAAAGAATTCTCAGTCAGGGTAGAAAAAATATCATTAAGTGGTACTCAGATGCTTCAGGCTATGAGCCACTGGCCCTTCCTCCAAATACAAAAAGAGGTACCGAAGTCATACTATTCAGACTAAGACTAGGTTACCCATGCGCTTGGCAAATTATTGACAATGAGACTGCCAGGTTATGCAAACACTGCGGCGTCTAACGCCACCCTGTTTCATTACTTGTAGAATTGTGAACACACAATTTCTAAGACAGGGACCACCCACCACAGCCGCCGGGCTGGTAAAAAGGGTTTGCAATATGCTTACTCCGTGGCAGCTGGATCACTTGCTCGCAATTCAGCCACCACCATAAGCATACAGTTCAAAGATACCACTTGAGTTAACTAGAAATAGTTAACAAAGGCCGGGCCACTCCAGAGAAAAGACCCGGGCGAAGCATGACTTCGCAAATCTAACTGAACTGAACTGAACTCTCCCTGTATCCTTTACGGTTTTTGTCTGAAGAGAAGTCGTGAATTTCGAAACGTTACGTTTATTTCGTACTTTTTCATTGTGGCTATATATATATATATATATAATATATAGTATATATAAATATATTATATATATATATATATATATATATTATATACGACACACCACACACACACACCAACACACACACACACCACACACACACACACACACACACACACACACACACACAACACACACACACACATATATATATATATATATATATTATATATATATATAATGGTTATATAATATATATATATATATATATAATAATATATATTTATATAGTATATATATATATAGATATATATATATATTATATATTATATGTAATTTATATTTATATATATAATATTATATTATTATATATATTACATAAACATAATACATATGTATATTATATATATACACATATATTAGGGTTGTAATAATAAAAGACATGTGTATATATATTATGTATACTAATTATCTATATGTATATAAATATGCTATATATCTTATATATATATAATGTATATAGTATAATATCTCCAATATAATATAATACTATTATATAATAATATATATATAATAGTATAATACGATAATATTATATATTATATATATATACACTATATATATATACTATATATATATATATAGATATATATGATATATATAATAAATGGTATATATAATATATATATAATACTATAATATATATATATATTATATATATATATGAACGTAGCTATGCTATTATCAGTCTAGTTACTAATATGCTATCTAAGTGTAGTATACGGCATATTATAGTTTATGTATTTATATATTAATATCGTTTACTAATTAATATATATATATCTATCTATCGTATCTATCTACTATACTATCTATCTATCTGTCTGTCTATCTATTATCTTATCTATTCTGTATCTAATCTATCTATCTAATCTTATCTATCTATAATAATTATTAATTATTGTTTATTTATATTAATTATATGTATATTAATAATAATTATATATATATATATATATATATATTATGATTATATATAATAGAATAGTATTGATATGGTGAAGTATGATAGAAACTAACGATAGCTGTTAGCCCACACACAATATATTGTTATATGTTATATTATTGTTATTAAATACTTTAATATGGAATTATGGCTAATTTTATGTAGATCACTATCGATTATATCTAATCTATAAAATCAGTATATATACTTATTATATATATATAGTTTTATATATATCAAGACATGTATATACCACACACATCATCACGCATGCTACATCACACATCACACGACACTTACACACTACAAATCATTCATATTTATATATATTTCTATAAGGTGTTATCAGTTAATATGATGTTATATAATATATATGTATATATCTAGATATATTAGAATATATGTACCTATTTTAATATTAAACAATATATTATTTAGTCTAATTAAATTACTAATTATATATTAGGAAATCTTGCTATTATCCGTTTCACTCGCATAATATTAATAATCAATCAGCGTTTATTAGTATGAGTTATTCTTAACTTATATATTAGAAAACATTTATATTTATATATTATATTTAATATTCATCATACATAATGATTACATATATAAATTCAATTATACAATATCGTACATATTTATATACACATATATGTAGGTATACACAAATGTATAATGTGTATAATTTTATATGATAATAAGCATTATTATTGTGTATTACCCAAAGTTATAGTATATTAATTATATAGTTATGATATATATTTATATTTTCATATTTTAGTAGATATATATATTGATTAGTATTATATGTATACACAGTATATAATATATATATAAATTATATAATATTTATATAAACGTTAACTATATATGCATAAGTAATTATAGTATTTTATAAATATTATAATATAATATAATCATTTAGTATAATATAATAAATATAAATTTATCGTTATATGTATTACGAACGAATTAACTGCTATATCATAAATGTAATATATTAACTCGTAATTATATATAAACAAATACCCCTCTCTTCCCTACCTCCTATATATATATTATATATATATATATATATAGTATATATATATATCCTAACCGTATCTCTCATATAGTACTCCATCTGTTCCCTCCCTTTTATCCTAAACTCTATCATTATCACTTCCTCATCCTATATCTCGAATATAGTATCTCTCTATGACATCATTCTAATTACATTCTTACTTATCAATCTATTCATATCAAATATTATCATTATTACAATCATTATACTATATTATACTATCTTCTATATACTTATCGATACTCTATATACATCTATCTACATTTCATCTTACTTTACGTATTATATAATACTTTACTTCATTATCCTCATTCAGTATTCTATATTATATACATACACTGTCCTACTATATAATATTACTGTATATATAAACATATAAATATTTATATATTTCAAAACATATAGCCTACTGGTAAAATCAGCCTAGTAAGTTATCTATTATATGATAATTAAATAATAGATAATATAATATATACCGGGTACTAATATGTGAGATATTATAATATATAATAAAATCTTATTGCATATATTATATATATCTACAATATTTATAATGTCATATAACTTATTAATATAATAGTAACATAGCGGTATAATGAGATAATGCGATCTATCATCTATCTATCTAATCTAGTCTACATATCATAATACTATTTATCTATCTAGTCCTATTGTATTCTATCTATCTATCTATTCTTTCTTAGGCTACTATCATCTATCGTACTATCGTATCTATCATCATCTATCGTATCGCTATCTATCTATCTTATTCTATTCTATCTCTAGTATAGTTGATATATATATAATTAGTATGTGATAATATAATAACTTAGTGTAAGTAACATGATATACAATGATACAAGACAGTAATAATATATAATATATGTCCTAGATACACCCAATGAATCACTAAGAGATAAGCCATGAGAACATAACATATATATGAGACTATAGACAAAGACTCAAATATATATAGGACTAAGTAACATTATAGACATAGTAGTAATAGTGATAATGTATTAAGAAATGATAGAGATAGGGTCACACAAAGATGAATAGATAGATGAATGGTAGAAGAGTAAAAATATATAATGATATAAAAATAAATAATATAGATTATATATCTTATAATATATATATCAAGTATATAGATAATTATATATTAACATACTTATATTATATAAATAAATTATAATAATATATATATTCAATAAATAATTATAAAAAAATAATATAATATATATAGATATAAAATATATAATTCATAAATAAATATATTTCCTGAATGAAGACGAATCGAAATGTCCAAATACATCTCTTGTATTGATGAAGATATCAGTCCATCATACCTTTACATACGATAATATATATATATAAATAATATTAAAATAATATATATATAATATTTACATATAAAATATATATATATATCTATCAATATACTATATAATAAATATAACAATAATATAATATATACATTAATATATATATATATGCATTAGATAATCAATAGAATAAAACTAATAGTGAATACAATATAAATAATATACTTATATATTTAATAATAAGATACTTAATAAGTTAACGCATTATGAGTAACTGTATACAAATAACATATATAAATATATAAACTTATAGTAATCAATAATAGTAAGTATACTTATGAGAGTGCAGTAGAAAAGTATTATATAATATAAATAACTAATATAATAATATTAAGTATATTACTATTCATTACTTACTATACTACATTAACATACATTTAATACGGTATATATATATATATAAGTATTTTAATATAGGTGATATCATAATATAGAGTAAATATATATATATATATATATATATATATATATATATATATAATATATATATATATATATATATGAATATATATATACATACATACATTTATGTGTACGCGTGCCATTGCGTGTGTAAGTCCGTTTGTGTGTTCTTGCGTGCGTGCATGTGTGTAGTTTCTTACTGAGTCTTCAAATAAATTTTAGAATAATCTGATATATATATGACAATTACATAAAGATATAGTATAAGAAAGTATGATTATAAGAAGTAACAAGTAATTTGGAATAAACTAAACACAAAATACAGACGATGTTTATTCGTGTATCAGGTACATTTATTCTAAAACGAACCTAAACAAACATGATGTATATAAAAAGCGCGGTGACCAATAGGGTTCATGAAATTCTGACATTTAAAACTTTAATAAGGGAAATTTTGACCCTTTGATAAGCAACATCAGATTTATTGCGTCGCGTCACAATACATCTTGGTTTTACGTTTGCTCAATTCGTGGATATTACGAATGCCCGTTTATTTTAATTTTACTTCAGTGAAAGACAGAGGTTTTCACACACACTTCTCGCCTGTCTGATAAATATAAAAGAATATGTACACGTAGACTATATTCAATCTCATATCACACTCAGTTTTAATATATCTTATGACTACTGGTCTGGGCCGGGTTGAGCTTCCATAGGCCTCAGGACCATTTAACAACATATTCACTTAGACCTCGAGCTGATGCTCACTGTGATATCGGGAGAGTAAGATTCAGTAATTTTGGGTATAGACTGAATGACAGACGTATAGAAAAAAAAATATCATGTCTCCAGCAAATGAAAACATAAACAATAAACAGTGGGAAACGTATCAGTGTCATATCTCGCTGATAAAAGCAGACAAGATGTTTCCGTTCCTAATATCTCGTAGGCCCCTGGCACTGTGCAGTCTATGCCTACTGTATAATCCGGCACCGTTGCTGATTGCACCGTACTGTAAATAAATGTTGGATAATGATTACCTAACTGACAGGCACCGACAGCGTGACTCCAGAGCTTTCACAGTTATAGGTCGGGTTATTTTCAGGGTGCACAATCATGCCTTTTCCCAGGAAGGCGCTGACGAAGCCGAAAGTCCCGAAACTGACGATCGTGTGATTCCCTTGACTGAGCAGAGCAATGTCCACTGAAGGGTCTTGAGAACCTGTTGGGCAAGGATAGTAGGATAGTACAGTCATGGAAAATGGCATCGTTATATCCTAACTCTACGGAATGAGTTTACAGATAGTCATCCTCACAACTACAGCTGGTTATTACCTGCGTACAGCACATCTGGACCCAGTATGTGATCCTCGCACCACTTTTTATCATCAGTCGTTACCAGGAACACAGGATGTGCGAATCTGTAAGATTATCTGATAAAGAGGAGTGCATCTGCAGATTCATCTTTTCATCATATTCAGTCATTTCTTACCGTTTCCAATGCATAACGCATCAGTATTTAGGTCTATCCTTGACTTAACATACTAGATTGAAATAACAATTAATTGACAGACATAATAAAAAGTGAACGATTTTTTTTCGGATTTTGCGTAATAGGATGGTGATTTGCCAGTCACATATACGATCATTCGTGTCAATACAAAGAGGTACACTATCGATTTTCCGGCACCTAGGACTTGTCGAATGATCCATAATAATTCAGTATTATTTTTCGAATATCTTTTTTCTGCACTTTGCTTTTCTGTTGATGACGCCCAAACCATTGCAAACCAGGGTTGTAGTTATTCTACAGAGCAAAACTGAATGCCTGTCCAATACAATACCTTGTTCTATTTCTTTAGTTTCGATCCCTTATTCACCTTTCAAAGAAAAAGGCGTCAACTGAAATATTTTCAAAGCTTACTAAAACGTAAGTGACCCAGGGCTACAGTTGCTTTGGCTATGAAGTCATGTGAATGACAACCCTGTATAAGGAAAAACGGTTATGGAAATTTGTATCATTCAGTGCAAAACTCTAACGTGAGACCTATTCCTAAAAATTAAGTCGTTTATAGATGCTGAAAGTGTCCTTCATGATGACTACAATGGTCTTTTTCGCACCATTTATGTTCTGATTTGAGTCTTGAGGTTTTGTGAAAGGTAGATTAATGTTATGAAATGTGATTGCTCATGGCTCAGATTTTGTTAACGGAGAGAAACTAATGCCACATTCAAATTTATTCTTTTTAGATTAGCATTCAAACCCCACGGATCCGCAAGTCTATCCGAATTTCAAGATATGACGGGTCATCGGTTGCCGGAAAATCGGTGTTACATCAGCACGTTACGCTCCTAAGACGATACTCTATGCCTTTGTATATAAAGTGACATAAAACAAAAAGAAACACAATAGAGCTCAATCTATACCATATCCCAAATTCATCGAAAATCTTGGCTACATACCTCTTCCTGAAGTAATTGAAGGCACGATGGAAGTAGGTTGCCGTCAACGGCGCTAAGCCATAGCGCGATTTCACATACGAAATATAATCCGTCCTCCTCACGTGCACGGTCACCACAGTAAGGTCTGGGCTCTCGGCGAGTCCCGCTGCTTCCAAGGAGCGGTGCATCCGCCGACGGGCTTCCTCCAGGATCTTAGGCTTGAACACCAAGACCTTACTGAGCTTTTCCCTCCAAGGCAGTAGCAATTCTATAGGACAGGGGTAGTTGCTGATAAAGTAGGATTTTGACAAAGGATACGCCTCCGGATTGCCCTCGTTGAAGTTGAATAATTGATTGTACAAATTACGATATAGTATG